CACACACACACACTCACTCACTCACACACACACACACTCACACACACACACAATCACACACACACACACTCACTCACTCACTCACTCACACACAGACACACACACAATCACACACACACACTCACTCACTCACTCACACACACACACACTCACTCACTCACTCACTCACTCACACACTCACACACACACACACACACACAGAAACACTCCAGAACTTTGGTCTTAAATACTACAATATAAAAACAGAACAGAGGGAAAGATTGGTCATGTGATGGACTTTATACAGCTGTATTTATATCAGTGATTGTTTACTGTCTCTGTCTGTCTGTTGCGTTTATTACCTGATTACGTATCTTTCACAAATGAACAAAACTACAGTCCTGCAGATGGATGGAGTGAACTGAAGCTTGAGTCAGTGCTGTTCTGGAGAATCGCTCGATTATTGACGCACATGGATTCATTCAGGAACAGCATGAACGGCTCAACACTACAGACTGACCTCAGATCAGCTCCTGCAGCGTCTCTGAGTCTCTCGTTCATCTGCAGATCTGACAGCTTTATCGTCCCATCAGCGACGTCATCAATCTGCACTAATAATCTGCATTAATTGCTCTTCATGCGTTTCGTCACACTGATAACCGAGCGCTCGTGTTTCTCTGGGGCAGAATCGTTAACGATCGTTAAATCGTTAGTGTTTTTATAAATGCTGCAGTTCATTTTTTAATGTCATGTTTTTGTATTTTAAAGCTCAGAGGATGTTGGGGAATGAAGGATCTTCTTTTAATCGAGGATTGTCTGGCCACATGTGTCTTTCTGTGACTGTGTTCGTTCATTATGTTCATTTGAAAACCATCGTTTTTTCTTTTGCATGTGAAGATGTTTTTATATGAACACATCTATAGTTCTTGCTGTTGTATATCAATGTTTTTACAGTGCTTGCGGATGCACAATAAAAAATTCAACCTTAAAATGTCTTAAAATCTCTTTAAATGCATTTACACAGCAGTTACGACTGTATGCTTTGATGCTAAGGACTGAGGTGGGTCAGAGCAGGCATAGTCAGGACAAATGGAGACAAATATTTAAACAGCTCGGTCGTGTCTTTGTACAGATATCAGAAGGATCCCAGCGTATGGAACAAGGGAATAGTTTATTTTTAATGTTGTCCCGGATCGTGTCTGAGGTTTGATCGGAGTATTTTGTTTTGTAAACGAGGCACAGTGTCATGGAGAGTCACAAAGAAGCATTTGTTAAAAGATGAAGCGGTACTAGATCTGACTGCAGCTGCATCACAAACCGTAAGTACATGATTTCATAATGCTTTGTCTGGAAATTACCGTTTTATTTTGATCATGTTGTCAAAACACTGGCATGCAATAGTGTGGGGCGTTAATACTGTTTCCTATGCAGTGACGTTAGCCAATCATAACAGCGGCTGATTACTGA